CGGGAGTCGGGCACTGGGTGCGCATTAATCACGTTTTCATGGCGCTCTCATATCAGTAGCCCAAAGATTAAACAGACCCATTCTAAATTTTATTCAAATACGTTTATTTGCTAGAGATAGGCGCAAACGTCAGTACAACTATGAAGAACACATATCTTTCATGATATTCACAAATTGGCCGCGTAAATTTGGATTAGTGGGCAAGGCTGTAAATGTTCATATTGTTTACCCTGTCTGTTTGCCATGTGCCATGTGGGGACAGGAGAAAGTGTTGCTTGTGGCTGATTTAATCCAATTCGGAGAGAGTCACGCCCTCTAGGGTGTGCCAAATTTGTTTAATTCATACTTTTGAGCAAATTTTGGTTAGTAGGAAATGGAAATTTAGGTTATCTTGAAAGCATTCATAAATCTCAATAAACATTATTTATTTTTATTTTGGGTAGCTGAACTGTTAAATATACACTATATATTTATATTTTGGGTAACTGAACTGTTAAATAAACTTAGGATTAAGGCTCTGGGCTAAAAATGCCAGGGCAGACGCTGTTATAAATTTCCCTAAGCTCATGAGGATGATATTTATAAGAGTAATAATAATAATAATTTTTAAAGTATTAACAATACATTGACGATTAAAATTCATATAATAATATTAAAATTAATTAATAATAGTCACATATAATACTGAGGCAATACAAAAATCAAATGATAATAATAACAATAACAAAAATAATACTAATAGCAATAACAATCATAAAATACTAATAACAAAAAAAAATGATAATAATAATAATTATAAAAATAATAATAATTAACATAAACATAACAATAATAATACTAATGAAAAGAATCCATATCATATTTTATTTTATTTCATCAAGTACCTTTTCTTACTAATACCACGTTTCATCTTACCTTTCTGTATGTTTAATATGCATGCAAATATTTGTTTGCGCTTCCCTATCACTTAAGAGCCCGAACTATCTAAATGATTGCAAATTGAAGCAATTGATTGGGCACAGATCAATTTAAATTAAGTTGTTCCATAGTTAGATCGATTACTTAGACGAAAGCCAAGAAATAGTATTCGTAGGTATGTCTGCCATCGCAAAGAGTTCTGCACAGTTGCCTAGCATATTCATTGTATTAAAAAATGTGAGGCAAGATTAGATAAGCTAAGATCATAGGCAAATGGTTGGTCTGTTGTTCCGCATTGAATGTGAATTTCATCAGAGCGAATTATGTCAGTTGTCATGTAGATTGGCCAATAATTGGGACGGCACTTGCCATGATTAAATTAACATGCTGCAAATTAAATACCATGCTACGGTCTTTTGTATCATTTAAATTAATTTGTGCTTTACTTATATTATGTACCGAAAGCTTACACACTAATTGCAGTTGGCTTTGATTGTTCAGATGTGAGTCGAAATGTGGCCATTAATTGCGCTGGCCACCTTGGCAACGCCCTCCTGCCTCACATAGCCCATTTCACGTTGCACGGCCGAGGGACGACGGTTGCGTGTCTCCGGCAGCAGCGGCAGCGAAATGAGGCCCACAAATATCGAAGCGGCTGCAAAGACCCACAGGTACAGCACTAGACCAGGACCGAGTGTTGACTTGACCGCATTGAAAGCCTGTCCAAAAAGTATGCATGCATATATAATTGAGCTTAAATTGCTTAATTCTAGTAGCTTTGGCCTTCTTTTAATTACTCACCTCAATCATGCCAAAGAGCAGCAGCCAGGAGACGCTCGAGGCCAACGAGTAGAGCAGGTCATGCAGCTGCCAACAAACAATCAATATTATTAATTCAATTTATTATAATTAGTCCTATTTCCCTCAGAACATAATTATAATATTTATATTTTCATTCAGTTAAGCAAAGTTAGTATGCCATCAAGTAAATAATAGTCTGTCGACTGCAGGATTCGCTGAATTGCATAACTCTGCATAATTCTGAACTTCTTGCAAATTGTTTAATTGAAATATTCGTTCGTATTATTGCATTCCAATTACAAGAAATATCTATAATGAAGCTTACAACGAAATCAGATTGTTGATATGCATGTGTTTTACATTGCGCTGAAAAGTATGCTACATAATTGTTTACAGTCAAGTACAATATTCGCCAGCTGCCATTTTACCTTCCAACTCTGCGTAAACAAATGCGCCAATACTTCACACATTACAATTGACTTCCAGGGAAATTCAACCTTTAGTTTGCATTGTGGGCCGCAGAGAATTTTTGCACAACATTATTAATAGGCTTAACAATCAGAATCGCGCAATACTCTGTTTACAGTGTAAACATTTGTGAAAATATTTAAAATCGAATCTTCTTAAAAAATTGAGTTGGTGGTTTTTTTAAACTGTAAGCCCAAGGAAGTGACTTTAAGACTGTTAATTGGGCAATATAGGGTATTATTCCTTGGGTTTTGGGTGTAGAAGTAGGCGTGAATTTTCCTGCAGCTAATATTAAATGTTGTCAATATATTCCTTACCTTTGTGGGCAGCACTTCGCTGCTGACGACAGCAGCCAGGGGATAGAGACCAAAGCTGACAAAAAACAGCTGAGCGGCGAGCAGAACGATGGGCAGATAACGCTCGCACCAGATGCCCAGAGACCAACTGGATCCAAATTGCTTGAACAGGGCCAAGGTGATGACTGGAACAGCGGCGAGCAGCGAGGAGAGGCAAAGCAACAGCTGCAATGACAAATATCGAATATGAAAATTGGCTGGGGAGTGTGGGAAAATGGTGAAAGACGAAAATGGTGGCCGAGTTACCTTGCGCGGCAGCTGCGGACCGATGAGGCGTGCGAAGAGTGCACCCACGCACTGCGCAGCGGCGAGCAGCACATAGTTCAGCTCCGTTGAGTAACCGGTGCGGCCCAGGAAATCGGCAGCATAATTGAGCTCCACAAAGACGCCGCTCAGCTTGCCGCAAATCGTTAGCAGAAAGCTAACACAGATCAAACGCACGACATAGCTATGGGAATAGGGCGCAGAGCCAATGCCCTGGCTCTGACCCTTCATTTCCGCCTTGAACTCGGCCAGCTCGTTCAGATACTCGGGCTGGTCGCGGTCATCAAGGTCACGTATGCCGCGATACCAGCGCAGCGACTTCTCCAAACTGGCCAAATTGCCCTTGCGCAAATAGTAATGCGGGCTCTCCTGCGCAAAGGGGAACACCAGCGAGAAGGCACACGACAAAATGCAGCCCACAATATTCACATGATCGTAGGACACATAAAAGCCCACCACAAAGCCCAATAGTATGCCCAATGTGCGCCACAGTTCAATGGTAAAGGTCAAACGGGCGGCCTTCTCCCGCGTCTCGGCAATTTCATTGATAAAAATGGGCAGCACTACGAATGCCGCACCAGCTGCCACGCCCCCAAACATGCGCGAGGCATAGATGTGCACAATGTCGAAGCCAAAATGTATGGAAAACCAGCCGAACTAAAATCAGAAAATAAATTTAGAAGATATTTGGATATGGGTAAGAATAATATCAATAAGAAACTTTCGAATTCGGAGTTAATGAAATGATTAGAGTATGTGAATAGTCGGTTAAAATTTAAAATTGGCACTTCTTGGGCATTCCGAAGATGTCTTCGAATTGAAGCTTGCCGGTGATATATGTATATATTTTATATCTCGTTGCCTTCAGCTTAAGCTTACACAACATTTATATACCAACGATTAGTCAATGCCCTTAGCTGTGCGAATAATGTCTTCGAGTATAAATGCCACTAATTAGTCGTGACTGTGATACATTAAATGCGATTCGCCGGAAATTTGTTAAGCTCCGGATGACTTACAATCTGAAGTAGTCCACAGCAGAGTAGCACGGACTTGGGACCGATGCGTAATGCCAGGCAGCCGGAAAATATAGCACCCAGTGCGGCGCTCAGAAAGAGATAGCCAGTTAACCAGGCGGTGCCCGCCGGATCTGTGACTGTGTTGAGGGGCGTTAGTGCCTCCGACTCGTAGAGAGTCATGTGTGCCGGTGTTATGCCAAACATGAGGCCGAAGTTAAAGCAAATCAGATTACCTGCAAGAGTTTCAGTTTCTTAGCAGATGTTGGCAGGCAGCATCTTCTGAGAAATTCACCCACCAATGGCTGTAGTCAAGCTTTGTATGGCGGAGCCGCTGACGCGATTGGGCAGGCACATCTTGAAGTCGTCCTGCGGTGTTCCGTGGAATCCAATTAAACCGTGTTGCGTGCAGACGCTGTTAAAACCGTGCGGAAGTGCATGTAAACTGAGAGGGTTTCAATGCATACAGTGCGCCTTTTATGGCAGATTTATCTTATATCTAGCTGCTTTTTATCTTAATGTCGCGTGCGATAAGAGACTTGCACGGCGATCTGACGCTGTGCGCAACATGTTTTGAACCCAACCTGAAACCAGTCACCGGGGCCGTAACTGCGTCCAGCTTGTTAGATGTGGCATTTTTGTATACAACTATATATATTTGCGCAACGTGAGTCCACAAATGATGCCGCGATAAAATGCGTCTGTGTCTGGCTACACGTTTGGCCACTGATGAAGAAATCTGATTTAACCTAGAGCAGATAACCTACCTGGGCTACCCAAATACGTGTGATTCGGTGTGTGTCTGTGTGTGTGCGTCGCCGTGAGGGGTATTCAGGCAACTATTGAACACTGGCGCGCAACTCAATTGAATGCAGTACGCAAGCTTGGTAATTAAACATCAATTAATTCCAATTGAAGCCAATTGTGGGCAAAAACCATATGCATTTTATTAAATTAGATACTCCAAATATCACTTGCGTTCTAGCTTATGTAACATATTTGTCTATATTCCGTTACAATTTTAAAACATTAAGCTTAAACTAAACTTTTATTTTGAATTTGAACACATGATGTGTTAAAATTGATCGTTTGCTATCGATAATAGTTAAGCAGCCAAACAAAAGCTGGCTGCTATGACTGCGAGCAGCAGTGCGCAGAGCTGCACAGTTAATCGAACAGTTATCGACCAGCCGCCACTTGCAGCATAAGATCAGGCCGGGAAAAATTTAATTTGTTGTTTCTTAAATTAATTCATTATATACATCATGTCCGCGCAACCATGGACCGCGGCCTATGCAGCCAACGAAGCAATATGGTTAGCCAGCGAAGCCAGCTCTGGCGACAAACAAAATGCATGGCGCGCACAAAAATTGTTACTGGCACACGCTACAGGGTTATTGGAAATAGGAAACGCGCACATTGAACAGCATTAAAGAATTCTTTTATCTTATAGCAACCTAAATGAAGCCAGCCATTATGATGTGCTTAAACAGCATCAGGATAAACGTGAAAGTGCCAGATGCACGGAGACGTACATGCAAGATTGTTTAAGTGGATGTCAAGAGCTGCTGGCCCAGAGTCGTCGTCGACGTGCCGCTGCTGGAATGCCCGTCGAATGGTCCGTACCCCTTGAAAATGCGTTCGAGCGTCAGTGTCGGGGTAGATATGAAAGCTGCATACGTGATGAAATCACAACAAACGAACTGCAACGGCCCATGGCCAACAGCAACAGGATACCACTCTGCATACCAGTGCCCACAGTGTCCACAGCAACAGCGTCTCCAGCTTTCGATGGATTTCGTACGGCACGTGAACAATTAATGCTGCATGATATGAAGGTAACCATGCATCTTATTATAGCCAACTGCTGATATTGTGTACCCTAGAATGAAGTATCATAATATTGTCTCAAAAAGGCGATATTGACATGTCCATCTTTCCGTCTACTTCTATTAACTATTTTCCCTGTGCTTTTTAGATACGGACAATGCACTATGAGCATTATTAAAAGGTTGGGTGTTCAAGCGTATTAAATCTTCGGTGTGCGCTCTTTTTCGTTATTCATTCCAGAAGAGCAAACAAAGTGTTGCAGCTGGAACTGGATTAGGCAGTGGTGCAGGTGGAACTGGTGGCGCACCCAGTGATATCATGAACTACAGAAAAAAGTCGCTGGGTGGACGGGGACGAAGTGTAAATGCCAAATTTGTGCAGCCCATTGGACAAACTGAGGCGTCAGTATAAACAGTGCAGTTAAAATCATATCTAGCTAATATATACTATTTAATCAAGTAATGTTGCTGCTGTGCCTGTGAAGCAGGATACCCCGGCCAAGGCTGCCGTGGCAATGCCACCCTCTTTGGCACATTTGGATCCCTTAATGGTTGAACAAATTATGAGAGAAAGCATGCATAAATACAAGCCAATAGGTGAGTGCAGTTACAAATATAATCGTTTATGTGTCTAAGGGTTTTTGTTCTATCATTTTACAGCTTGGGAGGATATAGCCGGTCTGGAGTATGCTAAATCAACATTTATGGAAACCATTATACATCCCCTACAGCGTCCAGATCTGTTCAAGGGTGTACGTCGTCCGCCTCGCGGTGTTTTGTTGTTTGGCCCACCTGGCACTGGAAAAACTCTAATAGCCAAGTGCATTGCGTCTCAGTCAAGGGCAACGTTCTTTAGCATCAATCCGTCCTCGCTAACCTCCAAGTGGGTGGGCGAAGGTGAGAAATTGGTCAAGACGCTATTTGCTGTTGCCGCCGTACATCAACCAGCCGTAGGTAGAGCCTAATTGGTATAATCAAGATTAAAAGCTTCATTTTCTTGTAGATTATATTTATGGATGAGGTGGACTCATTGCTATCGCAGCGCTCGGATAATGAGCATGAAAGCTCAAGGCGATTGAAAAACGAGTTTTTTATACAATTAGATGGCGCGGCAACGAACGAAGATGATCACATTGTTATCATCGGTGCTACCAACCGCCCCCAGGAGCTTGACGAAGCCGTCCGTCGGCGGTTTGTGCGACGAATCTACGTTTCGCTACCTGAGGCGCCAGCACGTCAACAGATAATCGAGAAACTTATACAACAAGTGCATCATAACCTTGACGAAGCACAGGTTCAAGGGCTAGCTGAGTTAACTGAAGGGTACTCGGGCGCAGACATGGATAGCCTGTGCCGTTATGCGGCCATGCAGCCGCTGCGAGCTCTAAGTAGCTCAGAGATAGACTCAATTGACGCACAGCAGGTAAAATATGGCAGTAAATTATGTAGAATTTTTTATTAAGCTAGAGGAAAACTCTGGATAATTTTCATTACTGTACAGCTGCCTGCCGTAACCATGTCGGACTTTATGTGCGCACTGCAGCATGTCTCAAAAAGCGTCTCACCGGAGGATGTGAAGCGTTACGTGGCGTGGAATGAAATTTATGGCATTAAGCGTTAAGTAAGAACAACAAAGCTGAGTTTTTCTGACGCATTTATTAAAATCCTTGTTGCGATATTTTCGCTCATATATTGACAGTAGAGTGTACTTATATTTCGCTATCTTCACATTTACTTAGATTTATCACGCGAATTGATTTATATATATATATATATATATATATATATATATATATATATATATATACAGATATATATTTATATATATATATATATATATATATATATATACAGATATATATTTATATATATAAACATATTGTGGAATGCTATGACATAGACAGTCATTTACAGACATATTTAGAGCTACTTTTAAAGGGTTTACAAACATTAATGTTTATTAACAATATTGTGTTTTCTAGCTCACAGCACATCAAAATTTGTATTCGTATACATCAGAATTGAATAACATTTAGATTTCGACTAGGTTCTAGTGGGCTTTTGATCAAGCTGCCTTCAACATGCTTTATAAAAGCATGACAAAAGGCTGGAATTAGTTTTTAAAATACATATAGATTTAACTTAAATAACAATTGTACTAATTAAATTGCATTTCAACATTTACTCTTTAATCGGTGGAAACACATAATCATCACTCAGACTGTTAATGTCCACATAGGTGGTCTTAGGGCTTAATACCTTGTAAAGTGCATCAAATGTGGGCCGCTCTTCGGGCTCCTCCAGCCAACACTGCAGCATTATTGTGTACACCTGAGGTGTACAAATCTCGGGTCGCTCCAGGCGATTGCCCGCTAATAGAAACGGTATCAGCTCACTGTTGCTTATAGTGGGATATGGCGATGCGCCCAGTGTGCCAATCTCCCAGAGCACAACACCGTATGCCCAAATGTCGCTCTTGCTCGAGTAGACATTATCCCGTATGGCTTCAATGGAAAGCCATCGCAAAGGTAACTACATGTTAAATAAATGATAAAACATTAAATTATAATTATGACTTCGTTTCATTTGAAGGACGTACCTTGCGTGTTTTGGTATTTGTGTAGATGCCATGTCTAGACAGACCGAAATCTGATATTTTCAATGTCTTATTGTTGTCGATTAGTACATTGCGCGCTGCCAGGTCGCTGAGGATTAGAATTTTCACAGGTATTGTAAAATTCACTTTACAAATATTTAATTTGGGAAATCAATTAAAGTTGCATAAATATTAATGTAATTTATAAGTAAACTATTATTTTTAGCCCAGTTTAGTCAGATGCTAAATCACACGCATTTATATTAATTAGCTGTTAACAGTGCGTTTAATGCTTCAACTACCACATTAAACAAATAACATTGAAACAATAGCCTACGTTTCACACCATATCAATTTGTCCTTTAACAAAGCTTCTTTACTATCTGAATTATAAATACGCATTACACAAAATTCGTCTATTCATATATTCATTTATTATTCATGATACTTTGAAACTAATTCCATTTATATATATAAACATTTGTGGACATAATGGGGTTGCCTTTGATTTACCCTGTACTCCTTTAAAGAGCTTAAAGGATTTGTAATATCTTGGTTACTTAAATAAATCGCTTAATGCCTCTGAGGACGTAACGCTTACGCACGAATAGCTTGATTACTTAATTAGTATTAGTAAATCAATATACAAGAACCCCTATTTTTATTGATTACAGTGAAAAACATTCACAATTCATGAATAATGACTGAAAATATTTTTCAATGCGCTTAGAACATTGTTTGCTTAAAAAAATTCATTTATCGACCGCATTCGAAATAACATGCTGTCAAAGGGGCTGAGGCGGAAGGGCTAAAACAAAGCTACATGCTCAAAAAGCCATAGAGCTGATCGCGTCCGGGTTAAGCCGGGGTATACCTTCAACTATCCTATATAGACATAGTTCAAAATTTACCAGCCCCAAAACTCGACCAGAACTCAACCGATTTTCATAAGATTAGGCTTTCAGTTCATTGTTTGGCCTCTTGGGGGTGAGCAAGCTAGTAATATATATAAAACCTGCCACAAATAATCAATAATTTAATTATCTTCAATCCTGAGCAGAATCTGATACAATTATTTAGCAAAATAGGTATCTACAACTTTCGGGCTCGTGTTCGTCTCTGCTTCATCTTGTCTTATTTGCATCGAAACTAAACTCAAATTGCAAACATATTTTTTTAATAATTGTTTGCGTTTAATTTGCGGTAAGCATATACATTGCATTACTGCCATTAAAATTAAAATTGTTTTTGGCCATGCATCTTTTTTTTCTGGCAGACAAAAATATTTTGTTTTCGTTTAGGAACTAGTTTTGAACTTTATAATTGTTTGGAGAAAGAAACAAAACTCCAGCTTCGACACACACTTTAATATCTCAACTTTTTAAATAATATTACAAAATTCACAAACCAATTTCATTTTGCAATTTTCGTTGGGTTTCAATGATATTATTGTATGAAAATTCTGTCGTGTACACACATGCCTGTTCGCCTCTCAATAACAAAATTAAATCAAAAACACCATGAACCCACTTATGGGCAAAAGAGGTTTATTGCCTTTGTGCAAAAGTATGTAACAGTTCTCCGAGCTCATGAATACATATGTTAATAGCGAGGATGATGAGCTAAGTCAACTGGAGCTAAGCCGATTGTATGAGTACCTCGATCTCGGGAAGAATAAAGCTGGATAATTGTTGTATAGTAAAATCCTATATATCCTATTTGTCAGCATATATGTATATTGGTTCAGAGTATCTCTTAGTCGAGCTCTTCCGACTAAAGCACTATTAGTTGTGTGTTTTACTTCTATGTTGGCTTCGTATTAATATTACTTACCGATGTGTAATCTCTTGCTCCTCTAGAAAGCGCATGCCATTTGCAATCTGTAGTGCAAAATTGTGCAGCTCCTTGTTGTCGAGTATGTACTCAAATGATTCCTCATCATCCACAATGGTATAAGTAGCTTTAACAAAACAGAACATAGTTCGGGAAAAGGGAAAAATAAATGGTTACAAGCTGGCGTGCTTCATTTGTCAGCTTACTTTCTGCGAACGAGGGCTTTTGCAATCTGGCGCCGACACCATTCGAAGTGGCATGCTGCGAGCTTGAGTTGTTCGTGGAGGCGGACGATTCCAATTCATTGCTCTGATTGGAGGCCTTCAATTCAATGTAATTAACACTCTGCGGTCGTGGTAAAGATGCACTTCTCGAGTTGGCCGGCAGCAGTCTGCCAGTCGGATGATTGGCATTCCGTGATTTTGGCTGCCCCAGTTCCTGGCGCACCATACGCAAGTAACTTAGCTGAACAAAGACGAGAAATAGTTTCGTTTGCCTGGCCAACCGCATTGGGGCATAATACTTACCAGATTACCGCGTCCCACATACTCCATAATCATCAGATAGGGTGCTCGAATGGTGCAACAACCCAGAAAGCAGACCACATTGTGATGTGTGCCGACGCCCTTCAGCATTTCAATTTCCGAGAGAAACTCGGCGACTTCATCCGCCGACGGATTGGCTAAATTCCATTCAACATTTCATTTATGCATTAATTACATTTAATTAATTGGCATACCCTTCAGCTGTTTCACCGCGACAATCGTTGTGCCTCGCATGCGCCGCATATTGATGGCAGTTGCCTCGTGCACACGGCCAAAGGCGCCTTCGCCCAGCATTCGTCCAATGTGAATCGCCGAATGCGGCACCTCAAATATGTCCGCCAGACCCAGAGCTTGTGACTGCTATGGAAGTAAAGAAATTTTTGGGGGGTTTTCAGAGAAATAATTAAATACAATTTGAGTTCAATTTATCTATCAATCTATTAATTGAATTCTTGAGCGATTTTCCATTTGTATTCTTCATATAAGTCTTTTTTTATTCCTACATTTTTATAAACTATCGGAAAGTTGTTTAAGTTTAAGATTTCCAATTAGTTACATATTTATATTTGAATATCTACACATATCACATAATTAGCTATAATCATAATTAATATATTTATTGGAATATTTAGAAATGAGAAGAAATTAGAACCGACTTATTTTTTTTTTTATAATTTTAATGTTTTCAAAGTTCTTTTATTTAGGAATTTATTTAAATATTCATATTTGAAACACAATCTTTTCATAAATTTCTTATACCTCCTTTTTTATTTCCAGAAATTATAATTTTCGGACTTGCGAACAACTTCTGTGTTGCCATCAAAAGCATTTTTCGGTATAATTGAAAAATGAATGAATTTCATATTGAAGAACGGTTCGGGTACGTATCTACCCGCAGCAGGTAAGAAGCTATGATACTTAACAGGTAAAATTAACCACATTTACTTAGTTGGGCTAATTAGCTTTTTGGGAATTGATATACAAATATTTGCAGGAATTTATTCTGCCTTATTTACACTAATTTGCAACTGTTTTTATACTATAAACTGGCCGACTTGCTACTTGACCTTGTTTGAATTTCCACTTTTCACTTGTTTTCACTCATTAAAATTTCTGTCAACAAATTTGTGATTGGAAATTAAGTTAATTCTTTCATTTGTCCATATTAAATGAAAAATATTGTTATGTGAGAAGCAAATTTTATTTACCTCGACATATTTGTCCACGTAGTTGATGTTGTCCTCCATTCTGGGAAAATGAAAAACAAATTTTCAATGCGGCAAACAATTGCTGCAACTGCAGCAGCCAACAAATTGGATATTAACTCACGCGACGGGTGCTGCCGCAAAGGATTGCATGTAAATTTGATTCTTCTGCTGTTGCTCCTTAGCCCGGGCCCGGCGACGACGACGCAACAGCATTGTCAATAAGCCCGCTAATATGACGGCAATGAGCAATGTGGTCATGACAATGAGCGAATTATTCTGGAGTAGAATAAAATATCAATATAGCTATAATAGAGGAGCTAAAGAAATATGCGTATACCCACCAAATTGACATTGTTGTTCAGCAACAGGGGACTGGCGGGAACTGGGTAAACAATTTTATGAGATTTGACATTTCCGAGTATTCCGAGTAAACATTCACTCAGCTCTTTGACTTACCTGGCACTTTGGTAACGCTGCGCGGCCCCTCACAGCCGGCTGTGTCTATTATCATCGCCTGCAGATTAAGGGTGGACTTCTCCTTCAGTTGTGTGCCCAAATTGATCTTCATGTTGCCATCAAACCCCTTGACTGTGGGCCGAAAGTGCAATTCGCTGAGATTATAAATCCGATTGAATAGATTCTTCAGAACACCTCCCCAAGGCAGCGAGGGATTGCTCTCCTCGTTGATTCTGTAGCGAATGTGTAAAGTTTCTTAAATATTTGCCTCAATGAACGAAGCGAGAAGCAATTGGATTAGTTGTACAAAGCACTTTATAAAACAACTGTAAATAACTTCTCGTACACTGGCTAACTTAATCAAATTTAGTCATGATTTTCTCAGCATTTTATCCCGAAAACAGTTAAAGCAAATTCTTAACCAAACCATGTATTTCATTAAAATGTGTTAAAAATGTTGAGCAATCGATGCAAATCTAAAGACAGGTACCATGAAGCGAAACACCGAAAATGTTCGAGCTTACAGCCAAGCTAAATATGAGATATGTATGTAGGTTGTATGTCTGCAAGGCCATTTAATATTTAGCATCTGGCAAATAGCTTACAGAATATTGAAATTGTTGCAGGCTTTCTTGACATGCGGTTCATGCAAAAGAGTATTCAAGGAAACTCACTTTAATTGCATTCTGTATGACTGGAGGGCCTCATGCAGATGATGCTCCTGCTCCTTGCGCAGCTGCTCGCTGGCCAGTATGGTGAAGCTGATGCCAATGGTATCGTTGGCCTGCATCTTGGCCACGGCCAGCACTTTGGGTGGCGTCGGCGATAGTTGACAGGAGCATTTGCCGGCAACACAATCTGCAAGCGAAACGAAGACCATAAAATGGTAAATTTTAACAAAGATGAGATGGCCACCGCCACATACGTGGAATGAAAACGCGCATAGAGCGACGCACGAGGAGATTTGACGTTTCCACGGTAACATTGTATTGACAGCCAAACATGTAGTTGCAGTCGACAGACTCGACATTCGGATTGGGGCTCTGCGGCAGATAGATGTACTTGCTGGGCTTCTGTTTGATGGTGTACTCGCTGCAGGGCGCATCCGGGCAGCGAGTGCTATTCACAGCGCTCACCAACACATTGTATGTGGTGCCTGTTGGGTTGTTAAAGCTCTTATTATCCATCGTCCTGGTTATAAACACAGCTACTCACCGTTCGGCAGGTTGTCCTCCCAGTGCACCTGCAGGCGAGGTATTTTCTGCATGAACAACGTTACATTTGCGGTCAGCTCCGTGATCTCGCCTTTAGATGGACTTAGCTGCTTTGCGAAAATGATTGTTAAAAAAAAAAAATATATATATATATAGCTTAAAACGATTGCTGCAGGATAACTGTCAGTGCTCTTTGCATCCCCCACATTATTGTTTTAATTGGAATATTTCCCAGAAAGCTTATCTGTAGCTTTTTTGCACCACAAGCAGCATGCCATACATTTTTAATTAAGGTTGCACTTTTACCCATCCAGAGCGACGCATATATTGGTGCACCACAAATCAATTATAATTGCTGAGCATGTATTTAACAGGAGAACCAAAACTACCTTCGGCACACCGAGACTTAAATTCTCTTTTAGACATGTGTGTATGTTGATGATTTTATACGAATGTTTTCTTTCCGACCAATTGTTTTTATGGGAGCTATTTGTTATGTTACACCGATTTGGCATTGTTTTGCAGAAAACCAGAAAACCTTTCGTTACAATAAACTCTCTTTACGACCGACTCTTCATACATAGCTATTCCGAGATAATATAATCATCACATTTCTTAGTTTAATATTTTATTATATTCTTAAATACACCTACGTATGTAACAGATTTATATATGTACATCTCTGTGATCTAAGAGATCAGAGTAAATTCAGAAAAGGTTCTTGAGCATATCTATAAGATTATTAGAGTAAGAGTGTACACTGATTACGAACATTGCAAGTTTTTTTATATTTCTTCTAACATAAAAAAAACGTGTCGATCATATCATCGGGATTTTATAAGAAATATTGCTGGGAAATAAAGCTTTGGTATAATCGAATTTCTAAGTAATTTGCTTACAAGAGTATTTGTTCTTCCGCGTTTATTACATTATAATATTACATTCCAAAAATATTGAAATTAATGTGTTCCTCGTATTTCTCTAAGTACTCTCAGTCTCAATACTTAGTAGGTATAAAATTGCCGCCCTTAATGTGCCGCAAAGACTCTACCAATATATGACAATAAAGAGATTTTCAGCACATAGGTAATCGGCTTTAAGGCGGCCAAGGATGGAAAATTGATATTTCTTCTGAAATGTATGAGAAGTACTTACATTGAATTTGTTCCTGTTCACTTCCTCTGCAGAACCTAACTTTGGTTTATTGTTACTTGTTTTACTGTTGTTGTCGTTGTCAATGGTGTTATTGTTGCTGCGGCTATGCACAGTATTCAGTAAAATGGTTTGCATAGTGGGGCCTTTGAGTTGAGCCCCGGTTATTGCCTGGTCTGCGATGGTAGTCAATAGGGTTGGCATTGCAGGCATTGATAAGGCGGCGCTTTCATTCCTGCTCGCCACCATTTGAGCCACATGGCTGGGTAGCAATAGAAGAGCGGCATATGATATGAGAAAATTAAAGAATTTTAGCCGCAGCATCCTTGAAATTTGCTCTGCTCATAGTTAAAATTGTGAAAACGACGCTTGCTGCAATTATCAAATGAAAATCGCATAGTTAGAATATTGTAAATTTTCTACCAAATTTATAGTTTTAAACTTTAACTTAAAATATATATTTTAAAATGTTGTCGCAGCTGCTTAATATAATAATTAGTTAGCCAGAAAAATAAACACATTAATATATAAATTCGTCCTCTCACTTGTGGGTCCTTTGAGGAGTTGAATGGCATGAATTAATTAACCGACTTTGGGTGGCTTTTGCATAAATGAAAGACAAACTACATTGTTTGTGAAAATAATAATACCACAAGTCCCTCGCGTTACAATCACAATATATTTCCTTTCACATTTCAATTTAAATGTTTATCTTTTTTTTTAGTTTTTGACCAAATAAAACAATTAATTTAATACTATTTAAAGAGCCGTGCGAAAATGCGTGCAATTTGATATGTTTGAATTTAACATGAAAATGATATATTCTTAAATCAACAGAAACAGAGACAAACAACAAAAAACTAATTAGCTGCATTTCATTAAGAGTGCCAACTCAAACGAAAGCACTATAGCGCGAATTTCGCATACGCCTCGTTGCCGTGTCCTGGCCATTTCTCATTTTCCATTACCCAAAGGCAGCGCGAACGTAATTGAGGTTGAAGGAATTTTACAAAAAATGGACCTTAAAAAAATTAGTATTAATCTAGAAGAAGAAATGGGCTTAAATTGGGTATTATAATGTTTTGCAAATGTAGCCAATTGAAAGAAAGAAACCCCCAGTTTTATAAAATAGTGCCTTAATAATGTTTATCTATTCGACAACACCGATCAAAAGTCGATATAGATATATAAAGATAAATTATGTAATTTATAAAATTAAGAGACAGTTTCTTGACGGTCCATCGAAATTTGAAGAAATTGCTCAAAGATCTCAATAATGTCTATGAGTATATATTGTAGGCAAGTAAGCTGTTTTTTCTAATACATTTTTTTATTTTTCAAAATTTTAGTTGTAAGCTGAGAAGCAATCAAAACTGTTGCATATGTTTTATGTATGTACTGAAGGCAGCTTGAACGTTTGTTACCTTAGCGATGGGTTTAGGGTATCTCTTAATTGAGGACACCCGACTAGAGCACGCTTTTTATGTTTTCTTTTGTTTTGTGCATGGCAATCAGCGAACAGTTCGGTAAACATTGCTGTCAAAGTCAAAACTTTAAGTTAGCCAGCACTTAGATTTAATTGTTGGTGAAGTAAACTAAAACACGCGACAACAACAACAAAAACTAAAACAACAACAACTAAAACAACAAATAATGCACTTAACTGCTTTTGCATTTGTGAGCTGTCTCTTGTGTGCAGGTGTGTGTCTGTCTGTGTCTGTGTGTGTGTGTGTTGTCACCTGTTATCTAGCAGACAAAAGGCGCAATGCCTTTTGACAATTTTGCTTAAACGAATCAGCCGCACAGCTTACGGCTTGAGGGGCTTTGGGGTGACAGAGGGCAACATGGCGTATGATTATTTAACAAGCTGATTATGTTTTGAGCGATCGCTATCATTAGAGCTACCCGAGGTCGCCGTTCGACTTTAATCGAACGCCGTTTATTAAGATAGCAATAAAAAAATAAAAAACAATATTTTGTATGTTTCCATAAGGTCATATAAGGTTATTTTCAATAACTATATGGATGATA